CATACATACATACATACATAAGCACAGCAACCCACATGTAGTCATAGTCATGTTGACAATTCCTGTAGATGGATTAGGATTGAGCTAGAGCCTTTTGTGCGACACTATTTCCTGCGAAGTCCTGCGAAGCTTGAACCGGAAGCTGACCCACGCTTCCAAGCCATGACCTCGCCTTTGGGGCGTTCGGCGCCCTGGTCGGCACCTGCCTAAGATGCAGGAGACGCAACGAAGATGGGAAGAGAAATGCAGTCATGTGCGTGCAGGTCATGGGCCTCGCTGCGTTGCTGGGCATGCCTCGGCCCATGAGTCCCTCTCATTCTAGATGGGCCAAGAGTGTCTTGAGGCTTTGGGTGGATTGGGTCTTCGACACCGGTGACTCGATCCAAGAGGCAGCCAAAGACCCTCCTGCCTTGGGCCTATTTGTCTCTTGCAGCCGAGCTGGAAGGCCAAGGTTTACTACTGCGCCCTCCTGCCACTTCCTTAGGGTGCCAAGGGCCAGGGCCGCCAGTGCTGTCTTTTTCCGTGTTGGCAGCGTTCAAGCAAAAACTTGTCCTTGGTGCAGTCTCTCCGGCTTGCTTGGATTGGGTCTTACCTTGGAAAATTCCCGATGCCTTGCTCCCTCTTTCTCCAATTCGAGGCCGACCCTCTTTTCGTTCCCCCAGTGCCTGCGCATCCTGACGCTTGGCAGTTTGGCAGTTTGCGCGGAGGGTCGTGGCGAGTTCTGAAGCCGCCGTCTTCCAGGATGCCGGTGGCCTTCTCCGGGGTCCACATCCTCGCGAACTTGCAAGGGAGCCAAGAGAAAAGAGTTTTTCAAGGAGAGGTCCCCAGCAGGAAGGATTCAGCATCAGGGCTGCAATTGACAAGTGACGGAGGCCACTCTTGAGAGACTCGCTGAGAGGTCAGAGCCCTCTGGCGCCAGAGTGGTTCACCTCGCCACCTGTGCCGTCGCTTGCCCGGAGCAGCTCTTTGTCTCAGTAGCTGTCGAGGGATGGCACCCCTGGCAAATGTTTCCATCAGCAATGCCATGCCTGATTTCAGATTTGGTCGGTGTCCTCTACTCTCTCTCTCTCTCTCTCTCTCTCTCTCTCGCGCTGTATCTGTCTCTCTGCCTCCATGGGTTACAGCTAACATCAGGTGCTTCTATTCGGTGGCCTGCCATGCTTCTACATCTCTGTTCGAGCCGCCCCTGTCTCGGACAGCTCAGGGCGCTTGGGGATTGCTTTGAATTTGGACTCGACCGCGGGCAGGGCCCTCCCCACGCGGTTCATGTTCCGATGCGAGGCTCCCCCATGAGCAAGAAGTGTAGAAGTGTAGGACAGTGTAGGGTATTGGATCCTCCGGTTCCGATCAGGGTTTGAAGTGTTTTGCTAGGGTCTCAGCCGGTGGAGATGTCCCGGTTCTTGCAATTTTGCGTGTTTGGGTGCCACCTCTCATGCTTGCACTGTACACTGCGAACTTCCGGCGGGGCAGGTGCAGTTCAAAATGGTGCATGGTCAGGTCAGTCGTGTCCTTGTGACCCCAAGCTTTCTTCATGGCACTGGCTCGGCTGCCGCTTGCCCCCGCGAGAGCATCCGTCGAGGGAGAGTTTCCGAGGGAGAGTTTCCAGACAGGACGGGGAAAAGAGGGAGACAGCAGAGCGCGAGCGCGAGCACAGGGTGCTACGCCCGCTCTTGCATCAGGGAGACAGCAGAGAAGGAACATCAAACAACCCCACTCGTCAGAGAGATCAGTAACCGGGGTAAACCGGCCCCGTGGAAGGTGAGAAGCATGAGAAGCCTGCATAGGGCTTGAATCGCAGAACAGCGAGGTGCAGTCGATGTGCAGCGATATCGACATGGCGAAGCAAATCAAGACACTGCAACGGGCGCACGCGGCTCCTTGCCAGTTCCAGCGTCTGTTCTGAGCACCATTGCCTGCTTCCTCCCGGAATCTCCCGGCCGTGCCATTAAGGCTTTGTTTGTCATCTTTCTGGCAAGCCATATGCTCAGGCTGCATGGGGCCGCACAAAATTGGCACTGAAATGCACTCAGGTATCGCCTTGGAAACAGCCGAGCTCTGAGCATAGGACATCATAGACAGAACGCAATCGTCGCTTCTGACGCTCTGTGGTTGAGGCTGGCCATGCCGCGAGGACGAAGTCGAAAGAGCAGTGAGCAAGAAAGAGCGGTCCATGGGCGTACATAGCGCTAAATCTGCTAAACTTGTATCTGAAAAGACAAAGAATCACTGGCGATGCCTGCAGGGCTCAGCCAGCTTCCCTCTGTTGCTTGAGAAAAAGAAGATCTTGTGCCATGTGAGCAGACGCTCCGCGGATGCCGGGGGACGCTCAGCCGGGTCTGAGCGAGCTCCTCGTCTCAAACTGCCAAGAGCGAGCTCAGGGCTCAGATCGGGAGTGCATGTGCCGCCTTTCCGGGCTCAGGAGTGATAGCCGTGGAAGCCATCAGGTGGGAGCCCTCAGCCCGCATAAAGTCGGGGTAATCAGTGCAGTAGAGAGAGCTGAAGCTGACAGGAAGCCCATGCCGCCCACCGCAGAAGCGGTCCCTTGCTGCGGAGACGAGGCGGCTACGTCCCTCATGTGCCATGTTCTTATATAGTTATAGTACACAATCAACATATATATATATATCAAAAAAAAAATATATATATACATATCCCCAAGGCCTATTCTAATTATTAAGGCCCCTATATTTTGCCCTTGCAGGCTCACAGATGACACTGCAAACGACAACAAAGACCGACGGCGCCACTGGGCTGCTCACTGTCACTGCTGCCCGCTTGCCCGAGCTGATCGACGAGATCGGCATGGGCATGTTTCAGATCATACAGTTCCTCCCCGTCCTTTTCGTCCCCCTCTGCGAGGGCGCCAACATCCTCGTGCCTCGACCCAGAAGCAGTGTCAAGGGGCCAACAAGTCCCCCCCCCTTTTTCCCCTTTCCTGATCTCCGAGGTGATGACGAACGTAACGCATGCCTTGAAGCAGAACTTCCAGCTTAGCAGCTGGCAGGCCGGGAGTCTCGACACTCGGACGCAAGGTCTGCTGCTCTCGCACTGCCACGGGTTCCTTCCGACAGAGACTATAAGGATGCTTTCTCCTTCTTGGGGCTTGCGCTCGGCCACTACGTCGCGGGCTTTCTTGCAGATCTGCGCGGTCGACGCCTCCCCATGGTTCTCTCTTTCCTTGGCATGTGCCCCTCCCAGCTTTTGAGAAGAGTGTTGTTGCATCTGAGTTTGCTTCTTGGCAGTTCGAGGACCCTGGGTAGCGTGCTGATGACCCTGGCCACGGGCTACGAGGCAATGGTGATGCTGCGGCTGCTGCACGGCCTTTGCTGTGGACTCGGGGTTCCACCGGCCGCGTCGATGATCGCTGAGACCGTGCCAAGCGCCTGGCCAAACCCTCAGTAAAGTCGCCCTGCTCGCTCTCTCTCTCTCTCTCCCTCCCTCTCTCTTTCTCTCTCTTTCTCTCTTTGTCTCTCTCTTAGTTCCTCTCTCTCTCTCTCTCTCTCTCTCTCTCTCTCTCGCTCGCTGGAGTCTCGGCCGATCGGCTGCACAATCGCTGTTCGCAGGCGCCGGTTTGTCTTCGTCCTCTTTTGGAGCTCCACGGCCCTTGGAGAGACCTACGCCTGCTGCGGCTTGATGCTCTACATGCCCAACCTCACAGAAACCGCTTGGAAGCAGGAGCACCGCATAAAAGAGCAGGCTTTAGTGTGGTCATGATAGCAGTGCAGGCCGTTCTTTGGACTTCTTTGCCGGCATTCTTGATGTTGCCGCGCAGCCGCAACTGATGCAGTCTCTGCTTTCATGTTCGAGTCTTGAGTAGCTTTCGCAGAAGCCGTGGCCTGAAAGACACCTCGCAGGATCCTGTCGGTAGCCACGCTGCAGGCGGGGGGAAAAGGGGGGGGTTTTGCTGCCTGTATCGGTGCGTGCACGCCTCCGGTGCCTTTCGGGACGGAGGACTCCCCGCACTGGCTGGCCGTCCACGGCCGCCTCATCGAGGCCCCCGGCAAAAGGACAAAGGCAAAGGGCGGCTTTTTGGCGGCGCCTCCTTGCTTTTTAGGCGAGGATCGTCTTGGACCGCATGGCCAAAATGAACAAGATGCTCTGCTTGGCGTTTGCGCGCGTGACACTCGGCCCCATGTCGGCCTCCCGTCGCATCTCCCAGGAAGGAAGAGGTGCTCAAGAAGCTGGGGCCAGCTCCAGTCCACGACTTCTCGAACCTGTACGGCGTCATCACGGCCCGCGCAGGCTCCGAGCATTGAGACTTTTCGAGACTCCACTTCGTGTACTCTCTGAGGCCACGGCCCCTCGCCACAGGCGCTGTATCAACGCCTGGTGCAGCCGGAGACGCTGAAGCTAGTGCCCACAGCAGAAGAAAGTGAAGCCTTAGCCTTAGTCACTTAGTCTTTTTGCTATCTCTCGGCGTTTAGGTGTGTCTCTTCTCCGTCCTCGCAAGTGTTGGGAACATCGAGACATTTGGAATGAGCAACGTCTGGCCAGATGCTTTCCTGATCCAGAAGGGCGCGCTGAGTGCAGCACCTCGAGTTCACCCTAGTTCACCACAGCAGTAGTGCTAGTGTCGTCCAGCTAAGGAGATGCTGCGAGAGGAAGCTGCAGACGAACACCTGCACGGTCATGTCTCGAAGGTTACACCACCGGCACAGAAGCTTGCACTCATCGTCTCCATCGGCATTCCAGCGACTCTGGCGGCTTTAGCAATGTCCGAGGTACCAGCGTAGGAGCTGCTTCAGTGTGGTGCAGGCAAGGAAGGCACCTTTACCACTTCCAAGAATTGAGGTGGGAATGGCTTCTGCTTTACTCTCGTTTTCCGAGACGGCATCTCATCGCGTGTACATCGTCCTAGCGGGCCTCATGGGATGCGCGGGCATTTTGTGCGCTTCGTTCCTGCAGCATCTGCAGCGCGCTGCTTTCCTTATGGCCGCGATTCTTGTCACTCACATGCTCGCAGCTCAGTTGAAAAGTGCACAGTCACCTTACCACTTCACTCCGGGCGAGGTCTGGAACCCTTCAGTATGCGGTGGCGATGATCTTCTGTGAGGAGTCCTTTCCCACCGACATCAGGGCATCCGCCACAGGCGCACGGGCGAAAGGGGCGGGGCTCGCGCGACTCTCTCTCTCTCTCTCTCTCTCTCTCGGGCGGAGGCATCGTGATCTTCTGGGGCACGCTCTGGTCGGTGTTCTCTCCCCTGCTACTGACAGCGGCGCCTTGTCAGCAAAAGGGGGCCGAGGGCCGGGCCTTTGTGAGGGAAGTTCTGTGCAGGTCGGCGAGCCGGGATTCCTGGCACTTGCGGCCGCGGCGTTTCTGGTTTCTGCGGTCTGCGTCCTGCCACTCCAGGCTGCCTCCGTAAACCGGAAGACGATACTGTGCCATGCGTATCTCTTATTGTTCCAGGAGACCCATCGCGCGGAGCTGAAGGACATGCGCGGGTCTTGCGGGCTGTCAGAGAGCTCCGCAGTTTCGGTCTTGGGCTGCGGAACGCGTCACTTGAAAAAGGACTTCGTGGAGGAAGAAGGCGAGAACTTCGAGGAGGGAGAGGCCGAGGCGGCCGAGGCGGCCGAGGAGGAGAGCGAGCTGTCGGAAGGAGAAACGGACACGGTCGGAGGTGCAACGACTGTGAGTTCCCAAGAGCCAACGTCGGTGGCCTTTGCCGACGGCACCCTCGGTGCTGCGTTGGAGTTGAAGTTGGTGTTCTTCCTTTTGGGGGCCGTGCCTGGGGTGTCGTTTACCGCCTTCTACTCCTCGATGGGCTTCTTGATCGACCGCTGCAGGGATCGCAGCTTCTTCGCACAGGCCTGTCCAGAGTCTCTACGGGTCAGACCAAGGTCATAAGCAACGGCAGGGGTAGAACCCAACGTCAGGAGTCATGTCGCAGTGCCGGGCCTGAGCTTGAGCCTCCTCTCAGGAGATGTTGGTGGGAAACGGAGCCGTGGTGCTGGGTTTGCTGCTTTGGACACGGCTCTCAGCTTCCATCTTCACTCGCTTGGTCTTGGGCACCTTCTCCTTGTTCCTGGTCGACCTCCTGATGGCCTTTCCCGAGCACGAAAACGTCATGTTGGCCTTGGGCTTCCTTCAAGGCTTGTTGAACGTCACGGTCCTCAGCACCATCTTGTCTTTGGCATCCGAGCTCTGTGACAACTGTCGCTCCTGGGTACAGTTGGGCTTTGCGACCGGTGCACTTCTGCCGGTCTTGGCGGTTCCCTGCACGGGCTTCGGGCCAAAGTGTCTTGCCATCTGTTGTACGCTTCCAAGGTGATTACGTGTTTTGCTGGTAACTGCTTGTAACTGGTCCTTGTAGCTCCTTCCATGACATGAGCACCGGAAGTCTTGATGGCATCCTGTGAAGCCGCAGGTCTCCTTTGTCTGTGCGGCTGACATATTATCTTCTGCCCGCACTGTTCTGCCTGCTGGCCACCATGATTTATGGAGGTGTCTACCATCGGAAAGTGACAGAAGTGAACAGGATGGGACGGAGAGTGAAGGGCAACTTGGCCGACCTCGTCATGGCCTATGCAAAGACAAATTTCCCTTCCTCGGCCGCGGCCCCGGCTTTGGCTTTCGGCGGTCTCGACGGCATGGCCCTTCTCCTCATTTTGGGCGCCTCAGCTGCACGAGGCATGTTACCCAGGCCCCAGTTCTAGCACTGCTGCACTGCTGAAAAGCATCTTGAGAAGTTCCCGGCTCGGATGTGTAGCTGTCAGTGTGCGAGTTTAGGAGATGGAATCACCCAGAAAGGCGAAATGAGTTGACAACTGTGAATCGCAAACGAAGGGTTGTCCAAGTAGTCGAGGTGTTGAAGTTTGTCCGGCTTTGCTTTTCCGCTCTCCGTCGCTGCCCGATGAACTCATGAGGCTATCAGTTCGCTGCGTACTTCTTTGCTGGAGTGTTCCCATTCTATGGGGATGCTGCAGCAGCATTGATGCTGTACCTTTACATGATTGCGGGGGACATGATGGGGAACTTGGCAGCTTTTGCGTGGGCGGCCGTTATGGACTTGCCGAGTCTCGGGCGTGCCTTGAAGGAGAGGGGCCGGGGAAGCACTGGGAGCTTAGCTTCTGCTGCGGCCGCGACGTGCTATGGAGCCTTGCTGCTCCTGCTGCTGATCGCTGGCCTTACTGCGGGCCTGGGTTCCTGGGGTGCGGCGGTTCAGGCCGCCAAAGACGAGACCGATACAAAAGCTCCCGTGCCGACGCAGCTCTGCTTTGCGACTCGGCCGAGCTTCTGAAGCTCAGTGATTCATCCCTCCCCCTCTCTGAGGTGACGTTCTTCTTCGGTGCTTTTGCAAAGGGCGGGCTCGATGAGCTCCGACTCGTGGGAGGAACATCCAATCTTGTGCGCTTCGCTCGGCTTTTCGGCAGCTTGCTGGGCCTCCTTGCGGCACTCCTCTGCTGCCTGAGCCGCGACTTCTCCCAAGAGATCTCGCCCAAGGCCACCGCGAAACAAGACTCGGTGCTACCTCTCTCTGACTCTTTCTTCGTCTTTCGGAGGTCGGCGCTTAGAAGATCATGTGTTGCTTCTGCAGGACCGCGACAGAACGGAAGCACAGAGCTTTCTAGACCTTGACGTTCTCTCCTTATCACAGTCACGTCGCGAGCTTATGCCTGGAATGGAACAATATGGAACACTGGCAGTTCAGTGAAAGCCTATGAAAAACGCCATTCGTGAAACATGATCTCCACCGAGGCTCCTTTCGATTTTTGATGCCGCTGCAAGTTCAGGTGACTCATGCTGGGAGCTTCGGACTACAAAGGGAATTCTAGTGCGAGAAGGTGAGGAAGCTCCCATGGACGAAGGCACCGAGAGAACAAAACATGACATGTTCTCAATCAAAGCTGTTGTGCCATAGCTGCAGGATGCAGGCTAGCATCCTTCTGTTGCCAGTTGCCGACGCTTGAGATGCTGCTGCAGTCCCAATCAAGCCTGTTGTTTGCCCTTTGCTTTTAGAAGTAGTCCTTTCCTCGTCATGGGTCGACAAGTGGGACATCAACGCCTGGCCTGCGATCCTTGGACAGCTGATAAGGGGTAGCGAGATGTGAGTTCCCTTTTGGCTTCCTCTCATGGAGCTTAGCTTGGTTAGTTTGGGGGCGAGTTCCGAGGCTTTGATCTTCATGCTCTGCGTCAGGGAGGTCGCGGCAGCCCGAGACTCCTTCCAGGTGCAGCAGGCTGGGGGCCACGGCCACACCGAACACAATATGCGAAGAAGAGTAGCGATACACTCCTAAATCCTGCCTCTAGAGAGATATCCGTGCCGAAAGCTAAAGCACTCCAGATCGGTCAGCTTTTCCGCGCTGCAAAACAGACGAGGGAGCGAGTAGTTCAAGGGCGGGCCGGTGGGCAGGTTTGGGTGTCGAGCACTTACCGAGGCGACCAAAGGTTTCGTGGGCAGCGGTGAAGGTTGTATGTCAGCATTTCAAAACAGCTTGTTGTGTATTTGTTCTTCGTTGGAACGAATCCGCATTCGTCGCACACTTCGCAAAGGGCTTTAAGCTTCAGGGTTTGGGATCTGGAGTTCTAGGGTGGGAAGTTTGCGGAACGAAATTGGTTTTGACTGTTGCTGCTACGCTCACGTGCTTATTCCATGTGCCTGCGGCTTGGATTTTGGGGTTTGCGGCTTGAGGAGGGCCTAGGCAGTGAACACTCTGCCCTGCAGATGGCAGCCTATGTCGGCAGCACGTTGAGGGCCGCCGATGCACACACAGAGTGGCGCTCGGCCGTGGCCGGCAGCAATTGTGGCACAGCTTTTGTTCGATTAGTTTTGCCAGCTGCACAAGCTATGGAATACTGTGCTAGTTCTATAAGAAAGACTAAGAGCCTTCGTCTCCGACTCTCCTTGATGCCGTCTAATCCCCGAGGTAGCAGACGCTGGGGAGTTTTCCATAAAGACCATGTGGTCTCTGGGGGAGTCGATCCTTGGCCTTAGAGCGCGAGCTATCCAGCTGCTCACGGAAGAAGCCTTCATTGCATCTCTGGTACAGAGAAAGGGGACCTTGAGTGCAGAAGGTGCGGAGGGTAGCGCGAGTGCCCTCTCCCAAGCCATCGGAGAGACACGACTGTTACCAGGAAATAGAAAAAGAGGAGAGGACCCCAATCAGAACTTTCTGCGCAGACAGAAGGATGGCATAGCTTGTTTCCCGCCACGACATGACCGTAGCTGTGTGCGGATTCTAAAGACCTTCGGCTACACATCCTGCAATGTCACGTGAGGGTCTGAAGATCTCAAAGGAAGCACAGATCGGCGCATGGGTGTTTTAGAGATAGAGGCATTGCCGGAAACTCGGACCTCAAGCCCACGAAGCTAGAAGCCACGTAGAGTCGTAGAGAAAATAACAGCGAGAAAGATGTACTGTTTTTTTACATGCTGGACAGGAAAATCCTCTCTCTTCTGAAGTGATCCCGTGCATCAATGGCCAAGCGTAGTCTGCAGCTGCGAACGCTGAGGGACTCTCTACGCTGGTCGGAGGCAAACATAACTTTCCGTTTCGCTGGCGGCTCGCATCCAACGCATGTGGAGGTAACAGGACTGGACACAGTGTATCGCATCATGCCGGACGCGGTGGTCGGGAACCAGGAGATTGAGGGAATGGCAGTGATGGCCATCGCTGGCTGGCAAGCCTACGACCTCAGTGCCCGCAAGTGGGGGGCCAGCGAGTACTCCAAGAAGCGAGCTCTCTTCTTCCGCACGGAGATGAATCCCTCCGTTGGGCTGACGAAAAAAACTTGGGGAGGCTGGGGACACATTGCCGGACTCCGCGTTTATCAACGTGCAAAAACGAAGGAGAGCGGTGATGAGACGATGTACTACATCAATGAGCATGGCAAGATGAAGTTCATTGACGTGGACGATGTGACGCAGCATCCTGCGGAACACGAGCAGCTTCGCCTTTTTATGTCAGGCTCCGAGAGAGGTGTCTTCCAACGCCCGGACAAAGAGTTGATGGCCATGGTGGATGGCATGTTGGGAGAGACCTCATGCTTGGGTTCACCCAGCAAATGTGCCTTTCGCTGCTTCTACGACTCCGAGAAGGATGTTTGCGGGCCGGTGGCCTTCTGCGAGAAGGCGCGGGCTGACAGCACAGATAAAGAGGTGCTCGTAGTGAGTCCCTTTTAAATGGCCTGCAAGGTTAGAGTGGACTCAGCTGCAGATGTGCTGGCGCCCTTTGGGGGAGAACAGAAGTGTCGGGCGGTCGGAGGTGACACCCACGAAGAAGCAGACAGGGTTCTGGCTGTGGAGGGCTTGGGGAAATTGAAGGAGATGGCCGTGAACGTGAGTCAACGCTTAAGTGACAGTGAAGCCGTCTCGTGGTCAAGTTCCGGCCGGAGCTCCCTGAAAGCCTCGGTCGCCTTGTGGTTGGAGGCTGCGGATCTTCTCAACGTCCTCGTCGCCCGGCACGTTTCAATAGTTTGGTTTGCTTTTCTGGTGTGCGAACTCTGCGAATGCGACTTCTCTGAGGAGACGCTTCCATTGCGACTGGGCAAGAACGCCGGGGAGTTTGAGCTCGCCGCCCGGCGTGCAGCAGAAACAGACCTGAAGCATTGGCGTCGCCGCCCAGATTCTCGGAAGCAGCGACTGCCAGGCTTTGCAAGAGTCCACAAGTGGTCATGGCTCCGATCTCGAGCTCTCAGGATCCGCTTACCAAAGCCGAATATGAGGCCGCGGCGAAGGCTTCACTGAACTTCGTCGACGCTTCACGGCACTTCTCCGTGGCGGCGAAATTGCTTCTCTTTTGCACAGCAAAGAGACCACGACGTACATGACAGTTCTATGCAGTACCTCGAAACCTAGAGTCGTATAGGTTTTCGGCAAGGCACAGTGAGCTGGTTTCCTTCGTTGTTAAGCGGCCTTCGCTGCTGATGCACTACACGAAGAGCGAGTCCGACGACAAGTGCATGCTGTCGGACAAGACCGCGTCGGATCGAGCGCAGGTCACCACCTTCGTGCAACTTGCCAGAATAGTCGTTTCCACTTGGCAGCCCCAGAGTCCTCTGGTCATACCAGGAACTACTTCATGAAAGTGCCCGGCTACAACGCGGATGATCTTCAGTCCGTTCGACTGGACCTGCCAGAGCATTGCCAAGACTTCCTCGCAGGCATGGACAAGCTCGATGTGGAGAAAAACGCCCAGGATGCTTGGGAAGGCCTTCCGATGCGGATTGAGGGGCCTTTCATGGGGTTTTTGGAGTTCTGGCGTGAAGTTGAGGAGAGAAGCTGCTGGGGGACTCCTCCGGAGCGAGTTTCGGGGAACTGCGATCCGAGCGCCTTTCCAGCGCCATCCGTGCTTCTTACGCAAGAAGCGATCCTCTCCGAGTCTCCCGCTCGCCCTCTCGCTCCCTCTCTCCGACCCCTTATTTCTAGTTTTCTTGCTCTCCTCTTGCTCAACTCGTGGATCTGAGGCCGTTCTTCCGTCGAAGCGGCAGGAAGCTCCGCCTTCCAGAGCTTCGAGGAGGACGTCGCCGGCACTGAGGCGCGCAGGTGTTCTGAAAATAAGTCGGCCCACGTTTTAGAACTCGACTGAAACGCTGAGACTCAGGCCTTCTTCTTTAAGAAAACTCTCTGAGTCGCTCCGGAAAGACACCCCCCTTCTCTGGTTTTTGATATTGTGACTCTCTGGGTGGTGTATCCTGCAGGCCCAGCAAAAGTTCGTGATCATCGCCTCGATCATTGTCGGCCTGGTGTGCCTTCTGTCTTGCTTTAGAGTCCCCTTGTAAGCTAATTCTATTGAAGCGTATTTAGGCTTGCAAGGTTAACTGCTAAGAGACAAAGCTGGTTGTCGGTTTGAATAAAAGCTGCAGAAAAGCTGCCCGAAAGGCAAACCCGATGATGCAGGAGGTTCCGGTGCAAGCTGCTCAAAAGCTACCAAAAAGCTAACAAAAAGCTACATCCAAGAGTTTGCAAGCGAAGCCAGTCGAGTAGAGGAGAGAGCAGCATAGTAGAGTAGAGAAGAGGAGAGAGCGGCAATCCACTTTGATTGGGCAGGCACTTTGCTTTTAGGGCTCAGGACTGTTGGAAAGCAGCAGGACTAGCAAGAGGCGTATTAGCATAGACAGACACACGCTGAGAACTTCGAGGCCTCGTGGTCGCTGGAACTTTCGCGATTGCCGGGTTGGCCAACTGGAACCGCTGCCTGAGCAAGACAAGTTCTCCGGGTGGCGAGCACTGCCTTGCCGCTCTCGTGCCTCGTGCTTTCCGCAAAGCATCCAAGCATGCAAGCTTTCGGTTTACGTCCGTGCCTGCTCCAGGTTTGCACCGCCCTGGGACTTCTGGTGATATGTGGCGCCCCGGTGTGCAAGCAGACTTCTCTCACCTTGTCACCTTCACCATTTTTTTTAATTTTGTGGCTGCAAGCCTAGGAGCCTTCGCGATGTCACTGGTAGCATCTCGGCTGGCATTTGATTCCCAAGAATTCAGTTTGGGGGACCTGGACATAGATGGCGGGACATGCATGAACACAAGCAGGCAGACGGAATGCCAGCCAAAACATGCACGACTCTGAACTTCTCTGCTTTTTGCTTCTGCCAAGCTTGTAGACTAGGAATGCTATGACAGAAATCGTCCCTCCTGGAGGGGTAGGGTGATGGAGCTTCATTGTTTCCAAGAGCTTGAGGCGTTAAGTTTGTGGGGTCTGAAGTTTAGGGTCGAGGCTTGGTCAGCACTTGGCAGGGCCTTGCAATTGCCGCTTGGTGTGCCTGTCTCTCATGCTTCCTATCTCATCTTCACCAGCTTTCCCACGTATGCCCACCTTGCATTAATCTGGGCAGGGTCAAAGAGCTTTAATTTGGAGCGAGGTCGGCGTAGCGGTGCTGGCCGGCGTGCTGTTCTTGCTGCATGCTGTGCGGCATTACTTCTTGCAGACTGGGCAGCGCCTCCACTGCACAGAGCACTGGGCACGGCATGCAAGTCCGCGCTTGCGCTGTCCGGCACTTTGCGAGGCGTGAGATCCAAAAGCCAGTCATGGCACACAGCGGACACGCAGCAAGCCCGACTGGCGTGCGCCCGTGAGCTCGGATGATGCCCATTGCCAAAAGTGCCTGTTACGGTGCAGTCTGTGTTTTGGCCAAACTCTCGGAACTCAAAACTGGTCTCAACACAGCAGCAACAACAGCACCAGCAGCAGCAGCAGCGGACAGCAAGAGCAGCAGCAACAACAAAAACAACACCAACAACAGCAGCAACGACGACTACTACTGCCGCTACTCCTCCTCTTCCTCCTCCTACTAGATCTACTCCTTCTGCTGCTGCCGCCACTGCTACTACTGCTACTACTGCTACTACACTGCTGCTGCTGGTCTAGCTTTGATGATTATTCTCACTGCGGGCACCTTCATGTCTGTCAATGTGACTTGCAGGATCCAACTGCTATCGGGACTTAAGGCCCCTGCATGGTACCACATCTGCTTCTGGTAAACGGAGCATTGGCTCAGTGCCCGTCGCGATGCGCCTGTACCGCTGCGCCGTGCTGGCCCTCCTCTTCGGCACCGTGTCTCAGCTAAAAGCAGGGGCGATGTGAGAGCTGTCTCTTCTGCGGACTGTTTTTCTCCGAGGCCGAGGCCTCCATCGTCGATGTCTTGACCAAGGCCTGCGGAGCGATTTTTGGGGGGGGCCCGGCCTCTCCGGCCGGAGGTGAAGACCTTCCGCAGCGCCGGCTTGGAGCTCTTCAGCGGCCTCGCTGAGGAGCTGAAGACCCAGAAGGAGGCCCGGCGCAAGCCTTCAGAAGAAGCCTTTTGCAGAAGCCGCAGAAAAGGGAACGGAGAGAGTGACAGTGACCTTCGGAGGACTCTGCTTCAAAGAAGGCGGAGGCCTTCAGCAACGACTGGCTGAGCGTGCTGGGAGTCCAGAAAGGCCTCACTGGACTGGCCAAGGCTGGGGGAAAGCCCCCCCCCCCGGGCAGCGGCTTGACGGCTAGCGTGCGCAGAGTTGGATGTTGCAGGATTTCACGCTGAATTACCTGGGCAGAGACAGCCACTTTGACTGCAGCTGCATGCGTACTTCTCAGCTGCGGAGAGAGCATATGAGGCTATCACGATCGCAACGGACCCCTTGTGGATGCTCTGAAGCAGGCATGGGTTTTGTGCCGGCCGCCACCACACAGCTTGCATCAGACTCTGGCAGGTATCGGCAACGCTCAGTGCGCGCTTGGGCGAGGCCCAAGATTCCGTGCATGCAGTGCGGGTCATGGATGCATGGTCGCAAGACGATCGGTCTGATTCCTTGGGCATAAACATATTGCGACAGGAGGAATTAGGGCACGAGCTGCTGCGTGCGATGAAGAAGGCCTGCCTTTTCGGCACTGTGAAACGGGACTATCGGGGAGCTTGGGGAAGACTTGACTCCGCCGCGGGCTGCCTTGAAAACTGAGGTTTGTTTTGAGGGGAAGCGGCTATTTGCCTCAGGCGGGAGTATGCGGTGAAACGCTCACGCGGCGTCGGTGTTGCTCTTGTTGGAGGTGGCTCCCTCCATGAGATGTTGTCCGACCTGCTGGAACTTTTGGAGTCCAAGGGCGCCAGAGAGGCTTTCACAAATCCTCGAAGATCGAAGAGGCGTCTAGCCATGAGCCACGGCAGAGGCCCTGCCACATGTGATGAGCACCAGCAGAGAGCTGAAGGAGGCAGCATTGAGTGGGTGCTTTGAACCCGAAAAACTCCTGGCTCCTTTGCTTTGCGTCTCCCGAGGCGCTGAGCTACTTCTCGGGCCCTCGAGTGGCGGCTTGGAAGACATCAGAACTCTTCGTGGCTTCTTTGCATCGCGTCTGTCTTCAGGCCAACGAGGAACTCTAGATTGAACTCGACAAAGCTGAGAAGGCAGCGAGCTATGCATAGCCGCATAGCCCGGTATGAATTCGGATGCATTCCGACCGGACGCCGGGCGCAGACGGAGCCCGAAGACCACAAGCCGGAGAGCATGGAGCCTGGAGACAGAAAGGTCAGAAGTGCGCATGACAGGTGCAGCGCATTGCAGCGCCTGCCAGCGGCAGTGGTTTGTCGCTCATTGCACAAGCAAGGATGCAGGGATTCGACTCTGGGGATGCCTGCGATGAAACCAAGACATCTCTTGACGTCAAGCAAAATTGGTGGTTACCCAGTTGCACTGCCACCGTCTCATGTGACATCATCTGATAGAGCCCTTAAGCCCCACGATCCCGTCTACATCCTTGTAGAACCCCGATATACGCGACATACGATTTTGTCCCAAGGCCCCCCCCCCCTCCTGCTGGGAACGGAAAGCATGCAAACATGAAAAAGAAGCCAAACGTCATGTTCGGACCGCAAGACTGATCCTGAACGGCCAGCAGCACTGGACAAACAGCATTTAACGTTGTCAGCAAAGCATTACCACGACAATGATGGCAAATGCTGTCCAACAAGCACCTCACGTCTTGAAGCACCAAACTCACCCAATACGAGCTTTAAGCCTGCAGACATCCAACACACCATTGCGCAAGCATGCTGGTGCGGCGGAGCACGGTACCGGTACCATGTGCGGCACAGCAACAAATGGTGCCTACGTGGCTCGTTGCGGTGCTTTGCTGCGCAGACCTCAGGGCGACAAATTGATGAACCACTTTCGTCACTGTGCGCTGTTGCAAGGTTGCCAACCCGAAGATCAGCCAGATTGAGAAAGAGTACACACCCTGGGATCAACGAGCGCTACCTGCTACCCCGCTTGTGAGCAGCCGATGCAGAAATAATGGGTGTCAAGCTGTCCGAAAGTGTTGCCTGGACTTCTTCGTGGTCGCCTGGGCCACGCTCCGAAGTTGATGCCTGGGCGCTTGTTTTTTCCACATGTGTCCTCTCCGAGCCTGGCAATTCCAGAGCACGATGCAATTAGCTGCCGGCTGGGCGCGTGAGCCACTAAGCCCGATGAGATGGTAGACGTCTTGATGGTCAAACGAAGGGTACAGAGCGGTTTCGGATTTCAGGACCAACTAGACTACAATATCCGGTGTTCATGCTATCGTTTTCGTCGTACTTTGCCCTCGCAGGTTGGCGAAAGACACATCCTATTTATATTCTTAGGAAGTCTGGGGCCAACAAGGTGTTGTCGGCTCTCGTAAGTGGTATCCACCAGTTTGGAGGCGACATCCGGAGACTTCGAGCTCGTCTAAGCAGTGGCAACGAGCTAGCGATGCTCTCCTGCACCGGCTGGAACACAACGACATCTGGGATTTTTGCCGGACGGCTCATCTGCCTGCAGGAGGATTTACAGCGCCCATTCTACGGCAGACCACTGGAATTTGCTCCAATGCAGCTTTTGTTGGACCTGAGCCTGCGTGGGCCATTGCCCATCCGTCCGCATAGAATCCGAAGCATTGTGCGTCTTGAAAAGCTGTCGGCGGATTGCCCTCATGTGCCGCTTGATGCGCTGCAGACAGAGCTTTGAGTGGTCAGCGTGGCTTGAGTGGTGCGCGGTGTTGATTTTGCCCAGATTCTTT